GGCGGGCGCCCCTTCGCGGGGAGGAGGGAGGGCGGCTCGGGACCCTCGCCACAGCCACAGCCGGGAGGGCCCCGCGGAGTCCCCCGGTGTGGCCTGGCCGCGTCCCGGTGCAGGAGCGCGGCGCCCGGCCCGGGTGCCCAACCGCCGGAGGTCGGAGCGCCCATGTGTGAGCGAGAAACAGGAAGGAGGGCCCGGGTCAGGCGCGGCCCGCCCGGGCTCCTACACCGTTACGGGTTGCGCGGCCGGCCCGAGAGCGCCGGGAGAAACTGGCTTTCTGGGCCGGAGGTTGCTAATTTTCCAGCATTGCCAGAGGCGCTCTGGCCAGTGGGTTAACTGCAGGTGTCTGACCTGGATCCTTGGCCTCAGCTTGGGGTTTAATCTCTTCCCCGGGCCAGGTTCCCTGTCATCAAAGCCTGGTCTGTGTCCCCTGAGTTGTCGGGCCCTGGAGTAAGGGGTTCTGAGGACCCTGAGGTGTGGAGTGAGCCCTCTTTGCGGAACGACTTAGGGAAGGCCACCGTCAGGTCGCCGGCCCCGTGTCCGCAGGTCACCAGGGGTCGGGTCTTTCCTGTGCCAGAGTGAGGTGGCCGGGCCTGAGTGCGAGTGGCCGGCTGCACTTGCCGTGGGGCTCTTAAGTGGAAGAACGTGTCCCCAAGGCCCGACCTGACCACGCAGCGGTCTGCACAGATGCTTTCTGAACAGAGAAAGAGATGCTTTTCCCCCGGCACCCCACGCCTCACCCTGCTTCTGGCAGCGGTCTGGCTTTGCACCGTGCCCTTCAGCACCACCCTGCCTCATCACCTCTGGCCTCTCCCTGGCCCCAGGCTGTGGGCTCAGCCAGCGCTAGGCTGTGGGGGGCCTTTGGTGGACATTGAGGACAAGCTGTAGGCCTGACAGGGGCCGAAAACCCCTGTTCTTGCTGCCTCCTGCCCCCATCTTCCCCAGAATCTGACCCAAATTCTGGGGCTCACGCAGCAGCCTGGGGCAGTGACACCTCTTCTCCAGCTTACCCATTCCCTGCAGCCTTCTAGCTCACGCAGCCTGAAGAGAAACTTTTCAACAAGGAAGATGATTTAGGATTCCTTCTTTCTCCCTTTTGTAGTTGCCCAAGCTTGAGTAGAAGTTGTGAGGATTCGAGACCCTCTCTTTTTCACTCTCTGCCCTTGCTGGCCTCTTTATTTTCTTCAGTTGTTCTCCAGACTCTGAGCTGGGAGGGCTGTTTCCACAGCCAGCCTGTGAGTGTGCTTTCTGCCCAGACTGACTTCTCCCCTGCCTACCCTCTGAGTCTCCAAGCTCCTGGCGGGGCTCCTGCCTCTTGTTATCCACCTAGGAGGGTCTTGGGGGTGGTCAGTCAGGGCTAGGCCAAAGGTTAAGTGGTCAAGTTCCTGGTGATCCAATGCTCATGAAATCCCTGTTCTACTGGCCCCTCTCCAGCCCATGCCTTACAAAGTGGTGCCCGTGACTCTCAGGCAGGTGTGTGGCTGCACCATCTCTCTGCACATGTATAGGAGTGTAATATCTTTATTTTTTTTGGTTTTAAGAGATAGGGACTCACTTTGTAGTTCAGGCTGGCTTTGAACTTGTGATCCTCCTGCCTCAGCCTCCCAAGTGCTGGGTTTATAGGTGTGTGCCACTAGGCCTGGTATAGGAGCATAATTTCTGAGTGGAAAAGTGTAGATATGATTTTCTCTGCCAGGAAGTCAAGTATCTACCCTGCAGACAGGGGCAGGGAAGCTGGCCTCCTACCTGTGCGCATCACCTTCTCTCCTCCCTGCCTCCTGCCTATGGGCTCCCTCGTTGGGCTTAGTGTGTTGGTGCCAGGACACTGCCAGGGCTGCCACGGGTTCTGGGGGACAGCGAGGTAAGGCACTGGGAGTCCAGTCAGCACCCTTTCCCCTGCCGTCAGAAGTCCTGGCTTGGCAAATCTGGTGCCTCTGCCAATGGAGTCCAGGACGGAGAGGGAGGGCAGTGGTCCGAGAGAGCCCGAGACCCAGGTCTGTGTCTCTGCACCTGACACACCGAGCTCTCTCATGCCTGTCTTCGCCCTTCCCACTTGGAGTGGGAGATGGAATGAGAGGTGCACTGTTCAGGTGCTTGTCCTTAACTGTTCCGACACCTGTTCTGCCTGCCTCCCCAGCCCCATACTTTATTTGTAAGCATAAGATGGGGATAAGACATTCCTGGCTCCAACCCCCTGCAGACCCCTAGCTAGCTCTCCGAATTCTTTACCCCACCAAATGCCTCTTGACAAGAGAAACATCCCTGCCAGTTTCCAGAATGGGGATAGGGTCCAGAGTCCACGTCTGCCTGTACCCTTGGCGTTAGACCTCACTGGAGGAAAGGTAGGGGGCCCCAAGGACAGCAGTCAGATGACCAGGTCAGGTACAGCCCCCACTTCCCATCAGGGCAAGCCAAAAGAAAAAAAAAAAGAGGTGGGAAAGAAGAGTGGGAGGTGTGCAAAGACATCTAGGGTTCTACCCTCATCCCTTCTCTATTCAACTTTTAACTCTTCTCTAGGAAAAGTGTGTGTGTGTGTGTGTGTGTGTGTGTGTGCGCGTGTGTGTGTAAAAGTTCCACTGTTTGCAATTATGTTTGATTTTGTTCAGTTCAGAATGCTTCCATCTCTAACTAATTAAATATTTATTCTGGCTAAGGGGGATCAGGAAGGGGCACTGCCCTCTGGTGCTTGAGGCCTGGAATGTGCTTGTGTCATTTGGGGCAGGAGAGGGGGAAGGTGGAACTGAATCTCCTTTATTGTCACTGCTGACCTCTGATTTCATCCAAGAGAGCAGTGACCAGGAGTGGGGACAAGAGGGTAAAGTCCTTGAGCTTGGAATACTGACAGGCTGAGAGGGATTTCGCAAGTGGTTCTGTGGTGGCTGGGGGTGGAGCCAGCCAGCTCAGCTGTGGGCTGAGGGTTCAGCCCTCCTCACAGTGGTCAACAATCTCCCCTTTCCTCCCTGGCTGGGAGGGGAATGCCTCCTTTCTGTCTCAAGGCCAGTCTGAACCCACCACCACTCCAGGAGGAGCCTGAGGGGCAGGGAGCCTGGCAAAGATTGTCCAGGCCATCGTGCTGGGATTTACTGCCGAGCCTGGGGCTGCCAGGTGTGGACCCAGAGTCACCAACTCTGCAGGGCTATCCTGTTGCTTTTCTTTATTTTTTGGTACCGGGGATTGAACTTGAGTCCTTGCACTTGCACAGCAGGTGGTGAAACCACTGAGCTAAATCCCCGGCCCTCCTGTTGCTTTTCTCAGCTCTACACACCTGTTGTCCCCCGAAAGCCACACACTGTCCCCTCTCATCTGGATGTCTGCATGGTCATTGCCACTGTTTGTTTCTCTGGGGCAGGGCAGGAAGGTGTCTGAAGCCCTTTGTGGGGCTGTGGAGCATTTGCCATGTGTACTAGTGTTACCCTGCAGACTGGTGCGTATTTTATATTCTGGATGAGCCTCAGAAATAGCTCAGCTCTGGGCTGAGAATGTAGTTCAGTGGTAGGAGTGCTTGGCTAGCATGTGTGAAGTCCTAGTTCATCTCCCAGTGTGTACACATACACACAGAGACAAATGGCTTGGTTCCATTAGGTGTCTTAGTCTGCTGCCTGGATTCCCTGTCCTCATCCCTGACTGTAGGAAGCTTTGCCTTCACTCTTTTTTAGAACGTAGGATTCTTCTGCCTTTTGGCAGGGACAGACGGCCTGGTGTGTGGCTGTCCACTCTGTGTGGTGGTTTGCTGCTCAATGACCACCTGGAACTCAGCGTACTTTGAGGACATACTTTGCTTTCCTGGGCCTTGGGAATAGGATAGGTTGCAGGGAGGGGGGAAGCACTGTGCCAGCCCTGTGATTTTTTTTTTTTGGTACCAGGGATCGAACTCGGGTCCTTGTACTTGGGAGGCGTGTGGCAGAACCACTGAGCTAAATCCCTGGCCCGGCCCTATGATGTTTTGGGGCTCCTCCTGCCCCTCCCAGGGAGGTTTCCAGCTGAGGGTGGGGTGAAAGGAGGGTGACGCTGACTCACTAAGATCGGCTACAGCTTCTCAGGCCAGGTCCTGCCTGTCGGCCAGGTCCTGCCTGTCCTCCAGGTTGGGATAAGAAAACCACGGGAAAAACCCAAGGGGGAATCAAGACTTCTAGGTGTCGTCATCTGAGGTTGCTGTAAGCATTAAGTGTTAAAACTGGAAGCCACCTTACTATAGATGAAGAAATGGATTTGCGCTTGCATCACTCGCTGCGCCTGCTCCTTGGTACACAGGGCAGGGTTCATCCCTCTTCCCCCACAGCAGCCTTGCTGACAACTTACGCTTCCCCTCATTAGGATGCTGCAGACCCTGTATGATTACTTCTGGTGGGAACGGCTGTGGCTGCCTGTGAACCTAACCTGGGCTGACCTAGAAGACCGGGATGGACGAGTCTACGCCAAAGCCTCCGACCTCTACGTCACACTGCCCCTGGCCCTGCTCTTCCTCATCGTCCGATACTTCTTTGAGCTGTGAGCACAGGAGCACCCCCTTATGCCTGCCCAGGCTGCCAGTCTTGCAACCCCGTGGGCCTCAAGATTGTTACTTGCTGCTTAGTTAGTTCTGGACCCTGGTGTTCAGGCTTCCCAGTCCCTGCCCACTGTGTCACCCACCCTAGGGTGCTATTGTCCTTCTGAGGGCTCAGCATCCCCAGGCCCTTTCTTTCAATCGACATTTGTTCTCACCCTCTGCCCACCACCCCGCCTGGCCACTAGGAAACACAGGCAGCTTTGTCAGCTCTGGGCAGCTCCAGAGGCTAAGGGAAGGGGGTTGCCAGGAAACTGGGGAAACTGAGGCCAGAGTACAGCTGCCTGAGCTTGCATCTTCCTACTGACAGCCAGACACCGCTCCCTCCGGTTCCTTCCCTAGTTACGTGGCTACACCACTGGCTGCCCTCCTGAATGTAAAGGAGAAAGCTCGGCTGCGAGCGCCTCCCAATGCCACCTTGGAACATTTCTACCTGACCAGCGGCAAGCATCCCAAGCAGGTACCGCGTGCACTGGGTGTCACTCAGTTCTGATGGGAGGGGAAAGGGGGCGCGCTGCTGGCTCTGAGGCTGAAATGCAGCTCTCATTATACCCAGGTGGAGGTTGAGCTCTTGTCTCGGCAGAGCGGGCTCTCTGGCCGCCAGGTAGAGCGCTGGTTCCGCCGCCGCCGCAACCAAGACCGGCCAAGTCTTCTCAAGAAGTTTCGAGAAGCCAGGTGGGGGAAGTTGCTGTAGAGGAAAGTCTAATGGGGCTTGCTGGGAGGGAGGCTGTGGCTGTGTGAGGGAGAGGTGAGGAGGGGCTCGCTCAGTCCCTTGAGAGCATGTGGGGACTGCTGGGGGCCATGCCGTCCTCCCACCTAACCCTCTGTGCTCTTCTTCAGCTGGAGATTCACATTTTACCTGGTTGCCTTTGTTGCCGGCATGGCCGTCATTGTGGATGTGAGTGGGACTCTGGGAAGTGGGAGAGACCAGAGTGGGTCTTCCCTCTCTTAACCTTTCTTCACCATCTCAATGCAGAAACCCTGGTTCTGTGACCTGAAGAAAGTCTGGGAGGGATATCCCATACAGGTATGACATGGGGCCTCGCTCTGAACACGCACTGGAGGAATTGATCAGGGAACAGGGAGCTCAGGGCTGGGAGAGTGGGAGCCCCTGGGGCAGCTGGCCTGGCTCCCTTACCACCCTCTCCTCTGCCAGAGCACGATCCCTTCCCAGTACTGGTACTACACGATTGAACTTTCCTTCTACATGTCCCTGCTCTTCAGCATCGCCTCTGATGTCAAGCGAAAGGTAGGCGAAGGGCTGCACAATCAAGCCCAAGAGGAGGTGGATGTGGTGGTGTACAGCATTGAGAAGGCTGAGGCAGGAGCATCATGAGCAGCCTGGGCTGCCTACCAGGTTCAAGGGTGGCCTGTACTGCATAGCGAGACCTTGTCCCGGGCAGGGGGAGCCCAGCAAGGTCCTGGGTGGACTCGCCTCTCTGACTTTTGCAGCTTTGGCCAGAAGTGTTGGGACATGGGGTGTGTGTGTGCTGGAAACGGGGCTGGGGAGCAGGGAAAGTTCCTTGGGGCCTGCATCTTTGCAGGATTTCAAGGAACAGATCATCCACCACGTGGCCACCATCATCCTCATCAGCTTCTCCTGGTTTGCCAACTACATCCGTGCAGGGACTCTCATCATGGCTCTGCATGACTCCTCAGACTACTTGCTGGAGGTTAGGCTCCCTCAAATTAGAGGCCCCAGCACAGGTTCTCATGTCCGTCTGTCCTTTGTTGGGGGTGAGGAAGGCAGGAACATTCCTGGGGTCCTG